GGTCTGACAAGGGAGCCCACAATAAAATAAAAATAATTGACTTACAGTTCGTAGATCTACCTGAAAAGAGAAAAATAAATAAAATTAGTTTGACTCAAGCAATTCCAAATCTACAGGCCACATGTCCTAGAGGAGGAAACAAATTCATTGTTAAAAAGGCAGAGATACATTTCCTTCTTCTGTGTTAATAAAAGAAAGACATTTATCTTGAAATTTTTTACTCTGTAGTGTCAGGATTCAAAGAGTTAGACCTCATAATTAAAAATGCTCCTAGGAGAGGGAGGAATGGCCTTTCTTGTTGCCCTATGTATCAATATACCACAACATAGGGGACGGTGAATGACAGACACACAAGCACACTTTAAAACAACATTTTAAACTTTATAAATTACATACCTATAAACAAATTCTAATTTGATTGTAATTTTAGCTACATTGTTAAAACCTTCATGCCAATAAAGCCCCTTTGAATTGAAATGGATTATTGAATTCAACTTAAATTATCACATTTAAAAACTGCATTAAAGAATTATTAAAACTGAGCATTAAAGAACAAAGAATTAATAGTTTATTTTGTCATTGAACTGACCACATCCTGATGTAGGCCCACCTCAGCCAGCTACTGTGGCTTCCTGCTTTTCTACTCAGTCAGTTCACTTAGGGCTTGTTAGCAACTTTTTTTTTTTTTTAAATTGCAATGACATTAAGTATCTAAATGTCTTAGGTACAGATATTATCATCAGCCAACTTGCAGATGATACAATGATATTCCTAAAAGACAAGCATCAAATTCCAAAAGTTATCCAAAAAAATTAAGAAATGTTCTAATGCCTCAGAATTAATGTTTAACCTTAAAAATGTGAATTACTTGCCATTCGTGACTCGCCTCTAAAAGATATTTGCACTGTCCCTATAAAATATCTTAGAATTCATCTCACCAAGGACCCAAAATTAAGCCAAACACTAAATATAGAAAATAAATTAAAAGAATGTAAAGCCAAACTTAATTTATGGCTCCAAAGAGACATCAATTTTAGGAGGAATTTATTTAAAGATGGAAAGTTTATCAAGATGCATCTACCCATCCTATTCAAATCCCATTCTAAACAAAATAATAAAATCTATTAACCAAATAAAATTAAACTTTAGAGAAACATAACCACATTATATGAAAAAAGTGATATGATTCAAGACAAAGGATGGCAGCCAAAAAGTTATTGATTTTGACTGCCTTAACAGAACTCAAACACAGCAACTCCTCCTGGTACTTCATTCCAAATCATATAGTTGTTAAAGTCGGTGGGTTAAAAGTTATTTTCACTACAGACTTTGACATTGAAAAACTTCCAGCTTTATTATCAGAGTTCTATAAACACACTATTGTACTGCAAAATGATATATGTACATATCACACTCTGGAACACCAGATATATACACTACACCAACACAAATCCTTATTCTATGAAGACTGGTATGAGAAAAATATATGGTCTATAACCGATTTAATGGATCCCAATGGTAGTTTACTAAATGATGAATAATTTTGTACTAGACATAACTTTAACCCTTGGAAATCAGACATTAAACTACAGAATGCACTACCCCATGAATTTGTATTTCAAACCAAGAATATATTGGCACATCAAGTCATTGAACCACGAATATCCCCACTCTCAATACAAGGAATTCCAATTTTGGACAAAGCATGCTCTAATAACTTCATAACAAACTGTTTACTTAAATACTTATTCCCTGGAAGACAAAACAGAAACAATTACACAAATTTGACAAAGACTCGATAAACAAACTATGAACCACTTATTTAAAAACTCCTATACCCCCCAAAGTGAAAGAAATACACCTCAAAATTATGAATGACATTTACTCCTCTGCTTAGATTACAATTCAACATTAATGATAATGTATGCTCACTCTGAAAAAATGATGTTGAAACCATAGGCCATGTATTCTTCTCATGTGACATTACATACTCCTTCTGGCTTGATATTAATAGATCAACAAAGAAACAAATTCAAGCACTGCCAGAGCTTATATCCAGAGTTGACATAACTTTTGGTGTGCTAATGAAAAACAAAAATGATGAACTGTGTTGCAATGTAATTCTGAGTCTAGCCAAATTCTTCATACATAAAAGCAGAATTCTAAAAGCCCTCCCCAGATATTATTTTCATTAATGAATTTAGAATGCATCTAAAATCTTTAAGAAAGAAAGGAACCACAGCTCAAAAGTTGGACAATTTAAAACATTTTCCCCATTGAATTAGATGATTAGGTTAAATCAAATCCAACCCCCCCTTGAGTTAGTTAATTTATCCATTGTATATTTAATTTGTTAAATACTATTTATTTTTATATTATCCTAACATTAATATATCTGTGTTCATGTTATTGCTTGATACCGTTTCCTCTGAAGCCATGTTACACCCACCATGTTGGCAGGATGTTTTATTGCCTTGTTTGTTTTGTATATCTTCAATAAAGTTTATTTTAAAAAGTTCACTTAGGGCCCACAATGTTCAGACCAAAAGCAAATCTAACATTAGCCCTAGCATTCTAACATTCTTCTCAATCTAACAACCAGATGTTCTCAACAACCAGCCATTGTTATGTTATGAAGCTAACGAGCTAAACATGAAGCAGCACAGCTGACCTAGCACACAGTGTGGCTGCATTAACTAACTTCCAGGCTGTCACTCACCTTTTTGGTCCTTGTGAATCCAGATGGTTCGACCCATTGTTGTTTTTCCGAGGTTCTTTAAATAAATAAACTTTTCTCCGAAGTACATAAACCACGACATTCACTTCTGCAATGCAGCCGATGCTACAAACAGACTGCTTGTGCTTATTTCGGTATCTGCATCACACACCTGTTGCAGGAGGAAGCAAACGATTATGAGTTAAATAGCCATTAATGAAAAACAGTTTTTCTTAAATAAAAGCTCTGGGCCTTACCGAACACTCCAGGCTCCTTTTCCCGAATGCACAACGCAGCGCTAATTTGGAAGCAATTTCTAAACAACTTCCCTAAGCTTGTTTTTCCTCTGAATATGTTTGCTAGCTTCCTGGCGCCAAACCAAAGTATTTGAATCCAAATCTGAGGCTGGGACTGAGAATACAGGGACCGACACAGACACTTGACTGACTCAATAAACAAATGCACTGATAGCTCTCACAGTTCAAAAAAGGCGTGCGGCCCCGCCCACTCCAATCAGCCCTTATTGATGATTGGATGATTGATCTGCAGGACCACCCACTGACCCACTTCCTGTCATAATTGGGCTGTGTTTGTTTTGCCATTATGCTGGTTGTTATGTAACGCAAGGGCAGAGAAACCCCTTTAGTTATAGGTACAGGCAGCCACATGAGGCTGATCTCCATCAGCTGGTAATAGTATTTCCAGAAAACAGGCAATTATTTCATATGAAGCCAAAGGATGTTTCTGCTTTTGAACACAAAGTGAACAGCCTGTACCACTGAGTGAACACTGCCCCAAAGAAACCGGACACCAAGACACAACCACAAATATCAAGTGTGATTCTATGGGTTTTATTTAATTCAGTCATGACTCTACATTTTGGCTCAGTGTCAACTTCTTCCTGCTCTGAGCAGTGGTGTGGCAGATGTGTGAATGAAACCCATTCTGCATGATTTGAGGAAAAATAGGCCATTGCAGCCACTGTGATAAGACAACAGCCCCTCTGTGGTAATAAATACATCCCATTTAAACAGAAGAGACAGTTTTAGGTCTGTAACAGGGTAAATCACTTAAGTTGCAATGTGTTTGCAAATAAATAAATAAATGGATATGCCTCAAAAGGTAAGTCACAAATGAAATTCAACCCCATTATTTCCAAAAAAAAAACTAATTAGGCATTTTCAGTGTTAGTGTTAGTTAATTATTGTAATTATCATAATTACCAGTGCAGTTTTTTTTTAAGAAACACATTACACATTTTTCTTTTTAATTGCTGACATACAGGACCTGAGCACTTCTCTGTAGCATTACAACAAATTACAAATCTGTGTAGGCTCAGCAGACATTACACAAACTGGTAATCAGCCCATACTGCCACGTTTTCATGTCATTATTTTATTTTGAATTACTGACAACATCTGAGATTAAGGCAGTTATTCAGAGGTCTGGAACCAGGCTAGTCTGTGTACACTGTTGTGTAAAGAAAGGAGCATTTGCAATCACACTCCCAGTTTTCTAAATACATCATTCAGCTATTGTAGCTAATACATTTCATTTAGGTGTATAATCATGAGAGCGCATCACTCTTTGCTATTGGAAAACTGGTAAACTTGAGTTTGAAAAGACCGGCTCAGATTTACCCAAGTACACCACCAATACAAACCTCTTTTGTCTTTTTTGACAATAAAAATGGAAAAGTGTCACATTTGTTCCAGTGTTTACATTTGATGCAAACAAATGTGTTAACAGAATCAAAAACCTTAGTCATTATTATAATAACTTGGCAACAGTCCCATTTAGCTTTGTATGGTTTATGGTTTGGCTTTGGATTCAGCATGGCATCTTATATACTGTATTTTGTATTAATATTTATAAATGTTAACTGTGTTTCTTGTGCACTTTATTTTGCTCTGAGAATGTGACGTGTTCTAACAGAAATCAAATAAATTAATCTGACAATGGTATCAAACTATCTTCCCTGTTCCTGACCCCTCATTATTTTGAAAAAAAAAAAAAAAATCTCCTTGGAGAGAACTTTACAGAATGTGATTTAGTGCGCCACTTGGTGGCCAGTTCCAGGGATGATCAGGACTGATTTATTGTGATGGTTCTAATGTGTAAATGCTGGTTCTAGTAGATGTTAAAAATGTCTCAAGAAAGAACTCAACAAAGAGTCTTGTGCAGTCAACATTTAAAAACAGATTGTTAGATAATAATCCTCTTGGAAGTCTAAAATTAGATGTGGAAAAAATAAAAGATTTCCTGC